CCCCCGAGGGGAAAGTCAGCGGGACGGACCCACTGGGAGAGATTTTGTTCGGGTGCAGGGAGCCCTGCCAGGGGGAGCAGCAGCAGCCGCCCCCCCTCGCAGCCTGTGACGCTGGGCATGGCTTCCAGGATCCTGGCGCCAGCGGCCTGAATGGGCCCTTCTCCCTCCCCAGGGAGGAGGTTTCAGTGGGGAAGCCCAGCCCGGCAAGACCGACCAGCCCTGAGGCCTCTCCAGCCCCCGACTTCTGGCTGCCAGAGAGCGACCAGGAGGAGAAAGGATCCGGGGGGCCAAGGGCCCTGACGCCGAGCGCCGCTGGGATAACCTCAGGAACCTTCCGGTCCCCCGAGAGCCCCCCTCCGCCACCGGCACGGCCCCCTCAGCAGCCCACAGAGCCACTCCCCCCGGCCCCCCGGGCATCTTTTCCAAAGACCCCGGAGCCACCCCCAGGGGGGCCCCCGCCAGCCAAGGCCGCCCCCGAACGGCTCTTTGGCTTTGCCAGCCCCCCGCTGGAGGACCAGTTCGAGGAGCCGGCCGAGTTCTCCAAGATCCTTCCTGACGGCCTGGCCAACATCATGAAGATGCTGGACGAGTCGATCCGGCGCGGGGAGGAGGAAAGGGAAGAGAGCTTCCCACCGCCGCCCCCGGCCCCGGCGGCCCTCCTCCTGCCGAGCCCCCCACCTTTGGCCAGGCCCAAACCACCGGCCTCATCTGCCGGCGCTTTTGACTACCCCAAGCCCCCCGGGCAGGACCCTCCTGAGCCCCCTTGCCTGTACCGGTTTGGCAAGCGAGACGGGGGAGAGCAGCCCCCGACCGTGGCAGCCGGAGGCGGAAGTGGCAGCAGCAGTAGCGGTCGCAGCGGTGTGGGCAGCAAATTCCCCCACCACAGCACCGCCTCCCTGCTGAAGTCCTTGGCCAACGTGCTGGAAGGGCAGAAGCACTCCTACCGGCCCAAACCGCTGACCCCTCCAGGTGCTAAAATCTCCCTCCCGTCGGGCACCAGCCCAACAGCTGCGCCCCATTTCTCTACCTCAAGCCAAGCCTGGGGGGCGGGAGCCTCGGCCGCAGGGGAGCGTGTGGCCACCCCTCCGCCCCTACCGGCCACTCGCCCAGTCAAGACGGAGTCAGAGGTCCTTGAAGAAATCAGCCGGGCCTGCGAGACGCTGGTGGAGCGAGCTGAGCGGGAGAAGAGCCCCCCGCCGCCAGCTTCACCGCCCCCACCGCCTCCTCCAGCTTCCCCACCACCAC